GTTGTGTATGGACAGTTGAATTGGCTACGAAATAATCGATAATCTACAATCGCACAACAGTTGTGCGATAGTTTAGTCCATGGTGTACCCGCTTTATTGTTACGACAAAGTCGTCTACTGGGGTGCTCGTGTCTATTTTATCTATCGTTTTAAATGTTCACAAATTTATGTTTATGATCAACTAGCTGTTACCATGCGACTTCATCCGCATAAAATTATAAAAAAATCATTTTATTGTTCACATTTGTCAAATTATCTATTGCAAATGTCAAATAACAGGACATGATGTCAAATCTTGGCAACTTTGCTTCCTTGATGTTGGCAACAACTTATGGTCTCTTTCTCAAATTAGGGTTTTTACCCAAAATATTTACACCTAAGTTTAACGGCGTAAAAATATATATCCTAAATCGTGACGTAAGTGTAGGGCTTTTTATTAAAAGAAGAGTTATTCGAAAATATGATGTGATTGCTGACATCTTAGGCAACAAAGAAGTGTGTGTTTACGCTTTATTATAATAGTATAGATATAGACACTAAAGATTACTCCGACGATACTACTAGAGCCGGCGTACACATTTGACTTAATTATCGCACAACTGTTGTGCGATTATTGATTGTATATCAGTCCATTCTAATGTTTAGTTGCACAACTAAAAATCGAGTAATATGCACCTCCATATACGCTCATAGGAATCAAAGGGAGACTAAACAGTTGTGCGATAATTTAGTTTTAGGTGTGTGCATGCTTTTATTTAAACTTTTAGTGTGCTAAAGAATCCGTAAATGTTTCTTTTTATTATTTTCATTTTTTGTTCTGTAAGTTTAATTACAAGGTTAGTGCAGAACGCTTACAGTGCTAAGAAGCACCGAAATGTCGCTTTCCATTGTTTTCAGTTTTACTATTAACCTTGCACAAGCATTAAAAGACATACGCTAAATGAACATGCGATACGATAACAATAAAAAAAAAATTTCAGCACACTTAATAAATTATTGTTAATCTTTTTTATGTAATAACTAGTTTTCGCCCGCGTGGAATTAAAAAAAACAAAGGTGAGTAGCCTATGTGTTCTTCCAGACTATCCTCTACATCTATGCAAAATTTCATCGAGATCCGTTCAGCCATTTGGGCTACAAACTCTAACAAACATCCATCCATCCATCTAAACTTTCGCATTTATAATATTAGTAAGATTATTAAGATAACAAGTGTTTTTTATTTGTGAAATAGCATTTTTCGGATTAATGAAGTAATGTTTAAATTATTTATCAAGTATTTTGTAAATCAACTTGAAATTTCTCATCTGTATAATTATAATAATTAAAACTATTCATCTAACATCAAAATATTAGTAATTATTTTAATAGTTTACTTAAATTATTATTTTTACTTGCACATGTATTGTGCGTATGGTTTGCATATGCAATTAGCGCTGTGCTCGTATTCTTGCGGTCGAGCCGTCGAATTTGCAACGCTGGCTCAGCAACGTTAATATTTGTTAAGGTGCTTCACAATTCTCATTGCGGCTGGATAAAGATAACAAAGAATATCCTTTTTTATAACTTTTTTAATAATAAACCAGAGATTATTAGATTCAATTGAAGCGTCCTATCTTTAATTCACAGTGTTACATTTTGAAAGCAATATTGTTTACAAAATCGTCATTAAACACTCAACATTGGCCCATTCCGCTAAGGGAGTGCCATAGAAAAGAAACTTAACTGAACTGAACAAATCATCAGGATACTAAGGGCCTCTTCCACCAAATTGTAAATTGTCTGATAATAATTCAGCGTATAAAATATGTGATGGAAATGTAAGAATTTGTTCCCTCATCTGACATTGACGTCATTTTTAAGATCCTCTATTAGCCAGTGGTAGGACAGGCACTAAATATTGTCCAAATGTAATGACTGAATACTGCAACGAATTTTTAATACTTCGCTTCGGAAACGCTTACAATCTGAGAGACGTCAAAATGTTAGTGAAATGTGGAGTTATCATTCAATATTCTCTTGCAAGTTTAAGTGACGTTTTAGTAATCGGCAAAATTAACTTTTGTGAGTACCATTTTTGTAATCCAGTCGCAACATGAAGCGCGTACACCTTTGACTATTTAAACTGTCGCAAAATTGTTTAGTTTCGCTTTGATTACTACGAGCTTATATGGAGGTGCGCACACTACTCGATGTATAGTTGTGCAACTAAACAATTTAATTGGCTGCAAAACAATCGACAATCGCACAACAGTTGTGCGATAGTTTAGTCAAAGGTGTGCGCCCGCTCTTAATAATTAAAATGTTGGACTTCCGAATGAAAAGTGATTGTTTATTTTCTTGTTATTTGAGATATTGACATTTTAACAACGGGAATAACAAAGATACGAATTTCCTAACGTTGAAATTTTTCTAGTACGTTTGATTTTATAACATCTCCGCTTTTCAAACAATTTTATGTTCGGAAAGTAAATCTACAATGTGCAGCAAACCGCAAAGATTTTAGGAGTTCAAACTTTATTTGTTTCCAATATTTATGTCTCACTTAGCAAAGTGTTGCCGTATTAGCTAACGGTTTGTTGCGAACGGAAACACTTATCTTTGCTAACAATGTAAGTTTTTGTTTTAATTTTGTTTCAAAGTTCAATATGAAGTAAAAGTATTGTAACTTAATAAAAAAATAACCACTTATTCATCTCATCATCGCCTATATTAGTCCCCACAGAAGGGCTCGGAGCCTACCAATCCGGTAATAAAAACGAAATAACGGCTCGTGCCGAGGCTCCTGAGGGAGCCCTCGAGCTTAGTTACTCATAAACGAGGTTTAGGGCAAGTGCCATCTGCGCTCGGACACCTCAAGCCCGGTGAATCTGGAAATGCCTCTTCAAGGCATACAGTGGCCATTCAGTCACTAAAAAAAACGCGGGGCCAAAATTGTGGTGACTAGGCCTTAGTCAACGACTCATAGAGGGTTGGTTGACTTCACACACTCGATTCGATTCGAACCCAGGATCTGTAGATTACAAATCCTGTAATCTTTGAGCTACCGACGCTCCGTAAAAATTAAATGGTGATTTTACACTCGGTAATTTTTTTGAGAATTTAATAAAACAGTATTTTGTATGCAGAAAATTTATCGTATCCAATGTAATCCATAATAATCGGCAATTGTAGATTGATCCGTACTACTTCTTGATATCATACGCTTCATTCTGTTCCAGATTAATTCTGACCGTGGTTTTTTACCGAGCAGATCCGGACATCTGGAAATGAAAAGAAATTATCACTAAGAAATTAGTTATTATCTGTAAGAGATTTCTGATAGGCCACCCTTGCTTAAATGTAATAGCTTAGTTTTAGGACCAGTTCCACCAGATTGTAAATTATCTGATAACAATCCAACGTGTAAAATATATTATGGAAATATCGGATTTTGTTACCTTATCTGATAGTGACGTCATTTTAAGCTATCTGAGCCTCTATCAGCCAGCGGTGGGACAGGCTCCTGGTATGTTTATTGTAATATTTGTGCAAACAGTATTAAATAAATAAATGATTTACTAAACTACCAAAAAAAGAATTTCTTAAAATTAAAAGCGACAAGAATCTTAAACTAGTGAGATAAAAATATCTTGCTTTGCTTTTAATTAGTTTTTCGGACCGAATGGTATTAAAAAATAGGTAGTCTATGTGTTTGTCATGAGTATTCTCTACATCTATGCCATTTATAGAAATATGTTTAGACTTTTAGGCGGCAAACTCTAACAAAAATCCATCCATTCATCTAATTTTTGCATTTACAATATTAGTACAAAGTGTGATTATTTGGGAAAAATTCTGAATAGCGTATATCTCTTCCAAAAAAGTTATAGTTATGACAGAATTGTTAAAACAAGGCTTTACAAATTTGCTCTTGTCAGATTCAGCTAGTGTATA